AGGGGATATGGAAATAACGTAAAAATATTTCCACAGGAAATATCAGCTCGAACGGGGGCGAGATGTGTTTCATTTGAACGCGATTATACAATACGAGTACGCGGTTAACTTTTCAGTCGTGCTCCCTATGAAACTTGACATTTAATCTTCCCTCGAGGTGAAGTGAAATATAAATAAAACTCGTGATTCCTTTCGCCGGTGCCTGCTGAAAATCGAACCAATTAAAACGCATTTGCGAAACGAGATCAGTACAGCGGTACGAATTACTCGAATATCTACAAAGCTGGGAAAATCTTTCCTATATTTATTTTGGATATTCCTTCAATTTTAAACATTTTTCAATAATTCGTTTTACTTCATCCCTGGGGCGGTACGAAGGTAGCAAACACTATGCCGGGGTTCAGCTTTAGTTAACAAAATTTTTCATAAGGAAAAAAGCGATGTAATTACGAAATGAAATATAATTAATGATTTTCCTCCAAATTTAGATTCATATGGAGCCTAATTATATAAAGAATCTATGAATTTTTAAAATGTTTGGTTAACAAGTTTTTAAGCTAGAATGTACACAAACTCAAAAGAAGTCGAGAAAAACGTGTTTGTAATGAAGTGATTTAAACCACTGGTTAATCAACGATTCCAGCACCAGATAGCAATCCTTTTTCATTTTCATATCCTTCGTTTTAACCTTGCAACTCTTCTTTCGGACTCTTTGAGCCAAAACCTATTTTCCCCTTTAAACGTCACACTGCGAAGCGCGGTGAAATTTACGAAATCACCCCTTCAACCATGTCACGAAACACTGTCCAGCAATGAATGCCGCGAGACAGCCAGCCAACATAATAATACCTTCTTTCTTATTCAAACCGTGCCGTTCTAAGAAGTTCCCGAGTTATAATGCCGTTTCTCTCGGATATGTCATTCACATAAATATGACAGGGTGTATTATACGCGCTCTTAGCCTAGCAGCGCTGCATCGCTCTTATACTTGAACGCTGCTTTCAAGGCATTTGATTACATCACCTCGTCGAAATGAGTTATGCTCTCGTCGTATTTTCGATGCAATTGCGTTGTTATTTTGAATGCGAGTTTCCTGGAGTGAGACGTTTCTGTTCGTCAATGCGTAGAATGCACGATGGGGGTTGTATATCCGAATGTTCGAAATATGAATTCCCGTTGATTATACGTAATGTTGGTATATCGTTCGGGTATATTTGACATCAACAATCAATTAAACTTTTAGTGACGTTCTGACGAAATTTTGGTGTGTATCGCATGTATTGTATGTTGTGTTTCTCGGAGCTTATACAGACTTTTTCCTAATTGGTAATTGCCATCATAAAATGCGTAATATATGCTAACGTTGAAAATTGATATCTTTCGTATTTTGTGTTAGGTGTAAAAAGTAATTCCGTGCTCCTATATTCATCATCAGGTATACATTGAAGTAATTTAAATTCATTTGAATTAATTCTCTAGAGAGCAAAGTTCATGAAATTCAATGGATCGGAATTTAAAAGATCACGCGAATTAAAGGAAGGGAAATAAATGTTCTCTTGAATCGCGAATCGTTAACGTTTCTCTAATCTCTCGGTGAAGTATTTTTCGTTTTTTGATACATGTTTTTTAAGCGTCGATGAAACTATTCTCTTTTTGCTGTTTGTATTTATTCGAAAAATGGACATTTGTTTTTTTTTTTTTTTTTTTTTTTTTTTTTTTAGAGAGAGAGACAGTTTTCATTTCTATTGGTTATTGTTGTTAGCACCAGGTTGTAGCTGGATAGTGGCTGATCGTTTTTTGCTGTATTCGATTCCATAAAATGAACTGCGATCTGTGTATACGCGAATTCAGTCATGATTGCAGTAACGATAACCGAATATCGCTCTAGTAGACATTTTTTTGTCAAAAGGTGCCATTGCTTCGTTACGATTACTTCTTTTATGTTCTCTGCATAACACAACGTCTTGAATAAATGTATGAATGTATTATTAGATGTAGAAATTAATTCTGAATGAATCAAGAATGAGAAATTACGCACAAAGAATATACAATCTAAGATGATAGTAATCAATGAATAGAATGTATAGTATCAGCAAAAAGTTTGTCCGCTGAGGTTACAAGGAGCACGTAGTTAAGGAGCGCGTTGCTCCTTTCGAGCAAGCAGTTCCTGACATCACTCATTCAATAAGCGACTGAACAATACGATTTCAAGACGAAACTGTCGTTATTTTTCAAACTCTCGCGTGGGTGCAATTTAAAGTCTGTTCGTGTCGTCCGCTGATAATTTATAAGACACGTTTGTATTCGAAATTTATCGCAGACCTCGCGATCGTTCGTAGCGATTCACCCTTTTTTCCAACGATTTGCCGTTCACCCCGAGAAAGGCAAAGGTCTAGGCGTCGCTTAGAATCCACCGAGAAACGAGTTAGCCCTGCAAGAAACGACAAAGGACGCGGCCTCTGGAGGGGAGAAGCTCATGCAATTCTAAACTATTTCAATGAAATGGGATAGCGGCCGGTGGATTTGTTGGTCGCGGCAACCGACTGACTCCTCGTTCGTACAGAGAAGACCGAGAGAGAGTTAAGAAAAGCCACGCTTCTGTAAGGACTTGGTTGGCTCACTCTTCCTTTGTTCTAAAATTCTTACGACTTCCCTTACGTCTTGCTAGTTCCCGTTCCTCTCGTGGCGAACTACAAAGGAAGTGGTCTGTATCATCGTGGTGGTAATGGCGATACCAGCGGCGGGGGCAGGGGATGGTGGTAAGGATGATACAAAATTGTCTCTTCTTTCGCGTCAGGTCGGGGGATACTTTGTAGATAGCGAAGCGGGCCGGATATGCCTCGCACAACTTTCTTTGCCCATCGGCTCAGCCTTGGCTCAGCTAACTTGGAGGGGTTTTTGCATTAGCATATCGACTTATTCATACAATCCGCCTCGGTTCGTGTTCCGCGGACGAACGGGCGCGCTCTATCCTCGGGGCTATACACGCCGCCGTCGATGATGATGCCGTGCTGATGGCGTGCCGCGCTTTTTGAGGGGCTTAGAACTTCGACTTGGAACCCTCCGGGGAATACGTTACGACGTGTTTCGATACATTGATTTCGTTAAACTCGAGTGCTGACTGCTGCGTCCTCGAAACGGCTTCGATAATGCCATAACGCCCTCGACGCTGAATACAGATTCGCATCGACGGAGAGGAACCACTCGCTCCCGAATCGAACGGGAGGAAAGTTTGTGAACGAATAAACTGGTCCCGTTACGCGTATATCGATTTTAGCCAAGCGAGATTCGCCGAACGTTAATCCGTATCACGGTCGCGAGTTTGTCGCGCGTTCCTTTTCACTCTTCAAAATTAACGCGCTCTCTAATGGATGCATGTTATCGCGAAAGGAGGTTTTTTTAATTTTTGTAATATTTTTCGATAGATGTCACCATTAATTACGAAACACATTTAACATTAAAATTATCAGACATACAAATAGTTAATAATAGACATACAAAATAGCAATTAAGTTAGGTCCTCCTTGTATGTATAATCGAAAGTTATGTCACAATAATCAATTTTGATGAGATAAGAAGAAATTTTATTTCGTTATCAGTTCGCGTTCTAATCAAGAAGTGACAAAAATAAATTCAAGTTTTAGAGCTCGTCAGTGTAAATAAATGAAGACCAAATGCATTTAGCCTATAAACAAAAAATTTAATAATGTAATATCCATCTATATGTATTTAGTATTCTTCAGAAGTTTATAAAAGTAAAAATAAAATTCATAATACAAACGAAGTCTATACAAGAATAAGCTATGTAAAATTGTGATAATAACTAAGCATCTGCTTTATAGTAAACAAAAAATCACGCTAAAGTTAAATAAAGAGCAAAATTGGAATTATGAATAACAAACAAGTGGATTAATGAATAACAAACAAATCTCTATAAAAGAAAGAGTTCAAAGTATTAGGTTGTCCCAAAAGTTTCTTTCGTTTTATTAATAATTAATTCGTACACAATACTTTATGTTATATGTTACATTACAAAATTGTGTACAATTCATTTCGCTCCATTACTGTTACAGCATCAATCTCTATGAAATTAGATTGTCTATTTATATAAACACTGCCACAGAAAATAATTGAATGCAACTCACGAAAGAAATTTTTAGGACAACCTAATATTTAGGAGAACTTCACTCAAAACAACGTTTCACATATCTAAATTGAAACACAATGTATATGACATTGCAATATTATAAAAATCGAACACTGAAGAAAGTATTTCAACCGTATCAGAATGAGTACATACTTCACCTTATACCAAAACATAAATACGCTCAAACAACATGCACGTCAAAATACCGTTTTTGTACTTTGGAAATATAAGGGTAGGAAAACGAATAAAACAGTGAAAGAAACTTAGCACTCGTTGCAAAGAAAAATCCCTAATAGACGACGGATTATTATTGTTATAATTTTACTTCATTCAAATAATCTAAGCACATTAAGCACATTAAAATAATGTAAGCACTGTAAGTTTTAAGTTAATGTATATAACAATGGCGTATTATGATACGTTATGTAACGTATGCTATATAAACCATATTTGGTTTAAAGGCAACAAATAAATAGACTACGGATCGTGGGAGTTTTCATGGTAATTCCGGAAAGCACTCCATAATTCAAGCCTCTGTTGCGGAACTACCTGCGTAGTCCAACTTGGAACAGCCGTTCGGTCGGTGGCCGTATTGGTCCGCGTAGTACGAAAATTTTTCATACGAGCCCATAAAACGCGCCCCCGGGGGCGAGGGTTAAGAGAAATATCAGGGATGACGGTTCCTCTGGCGTTCGTTCTAAGCGATAGTCGACGAGTGACTCGGATTGGAAGGAACTGGCGCGGATCATAGACTCGCGAAGCACGAGCAGCTCTGAACCGAGCGCTCCCGGAGATCACCGAGCGGGGCCGAGCGGCTCTGAACGCGGCAATTCGCGAATGAGGGTACAGTCGTGCCGCGGCCTCCACAGAGGGAGGTTTGTATAGCTCGTGCCGCTCTTCAACCCTTCATTTCGTCGATCCTAACGCGTGTACCGTTACAGCAATCCTCTAAAACAAAACCATGTTGTGACAGTCGTGCAACGAATCTTATCGACGATCGCGATGCAACAGGATTAGAACGAAATCATTCTCAACTTGGAGCCACGAATCGTGGGAGCAACAGATGCGACGTCGCGCGAGACGCGCTCTTTATATTTAGTTTGCCCACGATTTCCTCGCTCGTGTTACCTCGCGTCGCGTCGCGTCGCGTCGGTTCAATGATCTGTGTGTACTTGTACGTAAGCCAGTGACGTAATATGACGCGAACGAAAGTGCACCGCGTACGTCAGTGACATAGAGTCTCGCGTCGATGGGAATATCGTTGAATGTTTGATCGTCTGACGTAGAGACGCGACCCTTGAACAACGATCGGTGCTCCGTTCCTATTCGTATCCTATGCAGTCAGCACGCTCCAAACTGGAAATACCGTTCACTCGAGGATCGACGCTGTGTAAACGCAAACGTTAAAACAGAAAGCAAAGAGAATCGTAAGAATTGTGTTTGCCGATATCGTTCGGTCCTGTATCCGGTCCTTGGTAGGCGACCCTAACCGAAGGTTCTTTACCTGCGGAGATCCATAAGGACACCAGGTACGGTCGCGGGGCAGGAAAGAGAGACGAAGGAAGAATTCCTTTGTCCTCGAAGGCACTGCTCCGAAGGAGGTGGTCGCATCCAGGAGAAGGGAGAGAAGGAAGCTCAGCACGCGGTCGAGTTTCTACCTCGTCGGTTGTGTACACGTTTGTTCGAGCGAAAGAGACAGGACGTGACTCGTGAACGGGACAGATAGAGAGAAAACGAGGCTTGTACCATCGGTGAACGTCCATCAGCGCGTATCCAACGGCAAAGGGCAACAACCACACCGTGAACACATATTGAGCGCGCTGTTAAGCCAAGGTCGAGCGTCACGGACCACGTTTCACGCCGACTCCAAAACATCCTCGCTCGCTCCAGCTCGCCGTACTCCGAAATTCCCAAACGTGTTCGCGATCGCGTCTGTGGTTATGCCCGGCGATTAACGTCGATCGAATTTCTCTCGGTTCCGTACGTTTCCCGCTGGACCATCCAGCTGATTTTCCGCGTGTGTTGTTTTCTGTGAGTTGAGAATCGTTAAGATGCAACGACCAAGATTACCAGATGCCATGCTGGCGCTGGTCAGGGCAGCTGTCTTCGCAGCTGTCTTGGGACAGATATTGAGTCCCAGCATGGCCAACAGACCCGCTGGCGCGCACCCTAGTCACGCTTATTTCGAGCAACCTTGCTGCGGACGATCGCATCTCAGGCATCACAAAGGTTGGTGTGCCAGGGTTGATTTAGCATTATCAAATTTACAGAGATGCCGGAAAATTTTAATCGAGTACAGTTGACTCTTGGAGGCACACGATTTCAAATATAAATAAAACTCACGTTGCACAAAATTTCAGTGTAAAAGAGTTTCTAAAATGTGTTTTCACTTGTATACGTTTCTGTTTTAACACGTTGATCGCCACGTCGCCCATATGTGTGGGTGACAGTGCTTTTCACTGAAAAACGAAAACTATTCGTTCTGAAAGTTAAGTGTTATGGAAAATGAATTTAAATGAAATGCTCGAATTTTGATGAAGTTACGAAACTAAATACCAAAATAAATGTTTCATCACGCAGTTTCCAAAATTCTGTAAACAAAATTAAATCGCGGTAGAAAGTTTCAAGAGTAGTCTGGCAGTGAACGTGTTAACGTGTTTAATAGTTAGTGTTAGGTGATAGCATTGTCAATTGGCTAAAAAATGTTAAATAAATTTTTGAAGCTAAGGTGGGGGCAGTTTTTAACCCATCCAACTCCAAAAATTTTAATACGTTACGCGTTGTATGAAATCGTGTTGTACAAGAATTTCGATAGTACAAATGAAATCGTACGTAAAAATATTTTTAACGCGTCGTAGGAATTCGTATTGCAGGAACTCGTGAAAGGAAGTTTGCTACGTAAAAATGAAAGACGGCGTGGAGCGAGTTATCGAGTATTCGACTGGACAGTCACTCTATTGTGACGAATTTTTATTTGACAGTGGTGATTAGTGCACGATAGAAAAATCTGCAGCATTGTCGCGTATAGTGAAAATATATTTCTACAATGTTCGAACTACTCCGATCAGCTTTGCTAGATTATTTGTCGACTACTTCGATAGTGTTTTAGCATAAACGTTTTCACGCTTATCATAATGTTCTTTAGATACACGGTAGACTCCTGTATAACGCGTTTAATGTGTTCGCTTTGTATGAATTTGTGTTACAGGAAATTGTGGTGTACGAGAATAATCTAAAGTAACAAGTTTGGAGTAATAGTATTATTAAATTGGAATAGAATAGAGTGGTCGCCTAAAGATATGAAAAAAGTGTGAAACAGAAATCAGAAACGATGAAGAAAATTTAGTAAGCCAGTGTGCATTAATCTTCAGCAAGTGGTTACCTAGATGACGCACTATGTAACAACGTAGACATATATTTCTATTATCAGGTTCAAATAAATGTTCGTTTTTGGATTTATCTGACAACGTAAATAGCAAGGGTCGAAGATGTGTTCGGAGAACGCGACGATCTTGTGTTTACATACACTGAATGTTCCCTGTTAGTCGAAAGATAAAGTGAAAAATCTTCGACGTCAGTAACGTTACGATGTACTCAAAAGAAATAAAATTGAAATAATGTTATTTTCTCTATAGGCGTCATTCATGAAATGCATAGAAACAAGATATTATTAGAATTTTCAAGCCATAGCTATCAAAAATAGAAAGAAGTGTTTTTTTTTTTTTAACAAAGTGATACGTTATTTCCACAAAGAAAATAAGTAATAATTTAATTTCATGAACTACAACTAATTTGTTTAAATTCAGTTGAATCTAACGACTCAAATGTTAATTAAAATTTGATTTGTAGTACTTTGGAAGTATTTCCTATTCAAACACTTGTTATTCGATCCATCTATAGAAATCAATCCTTATAAACAACTTTCCTGTTTCATGTGATTCGAGAAAGATATCAAATCATGTAGGATTACTTTGAAGTACTATATTTCATAGCAAAATCTATCATGTACACGTAAACGTCATTGTTCGATAGGAGTTGTTATCAATATAAAGTGGACAAGATTGCTCGATCGACAGTCCATAACATTCAATGGCCGACGCTATCCACAATTATGAAAAATGCTCTAGCTCTCCCGTTGACCTAGAATTGCAGAACCGTCACCTCTGTTTACCGACTCGTCTTCAGCATTCATCCAAAACGTACACAGTTTGCTCTTGTTGTAAATCCACTCGCGCTGTGCACTCCAATCAATGGTTATTGAATTTTCCAGTTGAATTTTGATTGTTCATTTTATGAAAATTTACCATTTCGCGATTGAAACGAGGTGTACACTTTATTCAGCCCCGTAACAGTATTTGTTTAAATCAGTGTTTAGTTTGCAATAATATTCAAGATCTGAGACCACACGTTAGAGGCTTTCATTCAATTGATACGTAGTAAACATTCATTACACGACTTTGTTTGTTCTTTTATCTATTCATATTTCATTTTTATAATAGGAAATTACTTATATTCTAAATTAAAAATCATGAAAATGCTACTTGTTGTTTATATACTCTTATTATAGTTCATAGCTAGTTGATGAAATATTATTTGAGATTTTTGTACATTTATAAAAAGACTAGAATCATGTTACTTATTTGGTGTAATACATGTGAGAAGTAAATTACACGTTGGCTAGTGCAATGATACTGAGTTCATGTATATAGTGTACGAGCTAAATAAGAATATGTATTGATTGGTTTTGGTGAAAAGACAACTGCGTGGGAGACCCGTGGACTCTTCCTAAATGCAAGTTTCAGACAGATTGGCTCAGAGTAACTCATATTTTCTCTGGAGGTTCTTCGAATGAGTTAGAAAAGTATCATAAAATGTAGGTAAAAAAAAGAGGCCCAAATGTTTTCAACTTCCTCGCATACTATTTGAATCAATGTGTTTGCCGACAAGGATAACTGCATATATCGGCCCACATTTAGCCGAACTGTGATAATCGGTACTGGAAGAACGAAAACCCGAACGCGATACAGAAACAAGACGTAATAATGATCCAAAGCTCCTTACTCTGCGCGCAAAATCCACTTCGCAATGCACTTTACGTTAATTCCCCCACGGTAACCAGTTCCGCGTCGCGACGAGTAGCGCGTGTGCGCGCGCAAAATTTCGCGAAACAATGTGTCGTTAATGCTACATAAATACCCTTTCACTAATTAATATTATGAGTTTCACTTATACCGGTATTCTAAATACCAGCGGCGTCGGGCGTTCGCGGAACAATATGCCCCCTCGCGCCGTATAAATCGCAAACTTTCAAACATTCCACGTCGTCCGAGCCGCCCTTGCCACCCGTGCACCCGCGACAGAGCCACCCAGACACCCTCTGGCGCGGCTGGATAAAGGTTAACGAAGTCTCCGGGTTGGTTTACCGTCGGAATTTTCGGTGCACGCGCGAAAAAAACACTTTTCGCCACGGGTATACACCAGGGGCGGGATTAAAAGGCCGACGTTTTTTCTCGCCGCGGTCTAGGGGGCGGCAGAAGGGAGGACAGCAACGGCGGAGATACTGACCGACCCCCTTGCGTTCTCTTTTTCGCGGTAAATCATTTAGGAGGACGCGCGCGGGTACGAAAGGGACGTAAAAACGACGCAGCCCGGTACCGAAAAGCCCGTTAGCATACATCACCAATATTATCTCGGGGAGGGCCCTGCCACACGATATTACCGGGGCTTAGAACGCCGGGACTGACTTCATTATGTGCTAGGGGGGCAGAGAGAGAGAGAGAGAGAGAGAGTAAGAGAGAGAGAAAACCGTCGAATGGAATGTGGAATGGTTGGTTGGTCGAGCAGCCGGCTGGCTGGTTGCTCGGCTGCCTCTATGCCAGCCAACCGAGCCAGCCCTGTGGCCTCTGTGCAAGTCGAGTGTGGAAAGTGCGTGTTTGGAGTCGCATGTGTTTCGGCCAGGGAGCACCCAGAACCACGACAGGGTGGTGCACGCGATACCCACTGGCAGCATGTTCCAAAAGGGGTAGCCAGGCCTCAAAATCTTCGAAGGACAGTCTCTGGGCCAATTTACACACAGTTGCTCCAAAATGTTTTCATACAAACATACTCCGTTTCCTTTTGCATAGGAATCAGTCAGCTGCTTTTGACGAGTATACATATTTATCCTGGCGAAATGACAATATTTGTGTTGTACAGAGAGCACTCGACGTGCGTAAACAGTAGTTATAATTTGATGTTTAAATTGCAGTTTAAATGAAAAGTAACATTCATTCGTTTTTATAATGATTTGAATACATGTAGACCTAGGCGTAATTATAAAAAGGAACAAATAAAAGAATATAAGCACTAATTATTAGAAGGAAAGTGGATATAAGGTGAAGAAATTTAGTTGTTCATTATTTTGTAAATAAGTATTTAGATAATAATGATGGTTTGTGACAGCATGTCTGTAATTGCTATTTCTCTGCGTACTTTGAACACTGGTTTAACAAAGGATTACAAAGATTAACGAAATGACAGATAAATTTTGAACAAGGCATCTAGAATGTTGTTTAAAAGTGCATTTTTAGAAATGAAAATAAATACAACAAATATGTTTGGTTGGTCTATCTATCTTTGACACAAGAATGATCATTTTTTTAAAAGAAGTCTTTTTCAACATTTTTCGGGGTTACTTTTGTGTCATCGAATGAACCCTTTGTGGCCAGCGGGGCACGTATGTTTCACTTGAACAATTGAACCGCGGGTGGCATACCAGATCGCTCTTTTCAAAGTACTTTTGACATACATGTTCCACTTTGATAGTCGAACTGCGTCTGTCGTGTGAAATGGTATTTTTTAAAGTAAAATCATTGATGTAGAATTCTGTACATGGGTTTTCATCTTCCTGTTACTGCACGTCTTTACATTTACCTTTGTTTGTTTTTAAAAGCCACTGTAGGAGGCTCCATATGTAAATTCTTCTGTAATTTAACGATACTTGTATTTTATGTTTCTATTAGTAATTATTTATTCTTAATCCAGTCATTGCAAGTAACTATCATACACTCTACTGCTTACTCATTTGAAACATTTCACACGACATAATTTTAAAAATTAAATTACTGCAGAATTGTTTTGGCCTGTAGAATCACCCCCACCCCGCCTTCAAAATATTTCCTACCTGTAGATAAACACCTCTCATATACTATAAAACTACAAACGTACCTTTCCAAGTTTCCTCGCGTCGG